ATTTTCTGGATCTAAGGGGTGTTACACGTTAGATTTTCAGACTGCCACAGGAAGCCTTCTCTCAGACTCTGAGTCTAAGCACCTAAATTATATCACAGTGATACAAATATGTATATAAGTTATACACACAGCGATATCACTCCGTGGCATACTCACAAAAATGTTCTGCCTTCAATTCATTTCCTAAATTCCCAATCGTCCAGCCTTTCTTACCAATAGGATTCTCAATCAATGTCTTTAATAGTTAATTTGTTTAGTCTGATCTATGAATAGACAAAGGCTATGCACTCTTTGCTCTCTGCCAATCCTCTCCAATAAAATTGACCGGCCTCTCAGAAGTTAAGAGTTTTCCAAGATGCAGAACACCTGAGCTGGATCCTACAAACTTCCTACAAACTGTGTAAAAACTCCTTTTACACAGTCACATCATGGTCTCTGGTCCAGGCAATCCCTGGTGCTACGGGGTGCGATGGGGCAGCCTGTGACAACGACCAAGCCACCAATTTTGGGGGCAGAGCACCGCGTTCGTCCTGTGGCTCGACATGCTGGGTCATGGCAGACAAGTTGCTTTATGTAATCTGGCAATTATAATATCCTTATTCCTTTGCAAAGTGCTTCAAGGCCACGTGTGAAATGAAAAGTATTATTAATGAGACAGCAACCATCTCTTTCAGGCAATAACCGTTTTCTCTCTGAATTAGCGGCTGACTTGCCCTTATTAAGAACCAAGCCTTCATTTCCAGAGGATGGGCAGGTCTCGTACACGGCTCCACAGTGGAGTGAACAAAATGTAAACATCCCCTGCACGTACCGAGAGGGTACGAGCATAAAAGCAGCCCCCCTCCTCTCAAAGCATCCTCCACGCTGCCAGGAAATACAGGATCAATCAAACGCAGCAGCCCTCGGGTCAATGGTTTCACACGCGTAGGAAAGGTCAGTGATTTGTTTACAGCCTTCCTGGCACCACACCACAAGATGAAGGGGGGAAAATAGTTCCACGTATGGCTCGTATAAATCATCTTAACTAAATTACTGGCCTGCTTTATTCCATACATCACAAAGTGTACTGAAAAGAGAGCCCGCTCTCATTTACCAAGAAAAAAATGAAGGAAACTAACTCCTTCACATATCAGAGTAATATGGTCATGATCCCATAAATATGTCATATTTCAGATTGTTTTTAAAGTAATCTTTATAGGAAGTTCACATGCTGATTTACAGCCAATGAGAAAATACTGCGCTGAAACGGCTGTAAATGCCAGAGGGAAGAGAAAGCAACGTTTCTTCTCCTGGTGCTCCCACCCTGACTTCATTTAGCAACAACAAAACTGGGTCAGAGCAAGATAAGCAGCAGGTTATTCAGGAGAAATGAGACAGTTCGAAATAGATTGTCTCGTACTGTTGGTATCACACAATTAAAAAAAGTCAATTCCCAGTTAGACAGTACAATGGCCAAATTAAAAAATAAAATAAAAAACCTGAATCCAGCCAAACCGAAACCGAGAAAATTGAAACGGTGGCCAGAGCTATCACAGTGGGAATGTTTGTGGGCTGATTTTCAAAAATTTATTACTAGTGTAAGTTTGCAATCAAATTCAGTTATTATTATTATTTTTTAATCAAAATCTTAGAGCTGGAAAGAAATCCTTGGTCACTATGGGATGAGCACTGCCCTGCCGGCACGCCACACGCTGCCTGTACTCCTTTGGGGCTGCGGAGATGGTGAGGTTTCTGAAAAGCCCAAAACCTTTCGCAGAAGCAAATTAGGCCCTGGGAAGTCTATCTAGCAGGAACACAGAACTTTTGAACAACAGCACATCAGGGGAAAACATCCACTTTTGATTTTTAAATGAGTTTAAAAAAAATAAAATCAAGTAAACATAAAAGCAAAACAAGCTTTCGGCACAAAGGACATGCAAATACTCAGACACCCGCTTTGTTCCAGGGCTATTTTTCCTGTATTTCCTCAACTATTATTTGCCTTGATGAACACATGTAATCACTCCCCAGAAAACTCTCCCCACACACAAGTATTTTTAGGGGAGAAGGAAGAAAATATTTCTGATTTCTCATTACCTATTTCTATTTCTGGCCCCCCCCCAAATTTCCCTTTAATGCTAACTATAAAAGGGACCCGAGGAACATGGAAGGCTGTTTAGTCATCAGTTTAAATCTGGATTCCTTCTTTTATTTCATACAAACCCGGTGTTTTAATCGGAAGCAAATGTAGGACACTTACCTACTGAAATTAACAGACTTCACTGTTAATTTCACTGAAACAGTGTGGCCCTCAAGTATTAATTAAATCCTAAATTGCTTTCTGGGGCAGAATCGCTGGTCTACTTTTTATGGTCACAAGAGCATTGCTGAGAACAGGCTCTGCGACGTGCCCAAAGACATCCAATGTGAGATTCGGGAGAAACGAGAAAGAACTGGAGAGTCAAAGCCTCAATTTTCCCCGGCAAACACTCTACTGCACTCCAAACTTTAAAATTAAATGACTGGCACAGCCTGAAGCGGCCAGAGAGAGGAAAGTGAGGACAAGACAAAAGCTCAGGCTCACATCAAGAGGGCAAGCTCTTGTTTGTCCAATTATTTGAACCCAGGGAAAATTAGACGGGGACTTCGTATGAAAGGGATGAGAATGATAACAGATAATGAGGTTGTTTTTCATTTATAGCAAGGTCTCCTTGTAACACTCAGCCTTAAAATGGCAGAAAAATAGGCCCTAATCATTTCTCTTTTGCAGAGACTGTTTCCTCCGTGGCTAATGCAAGGACTTGCCTCTTGGTACCACTCCCACTCCAAGGTGAAGTGAGCAGCAAATCAGGACCACGTCGAGGAACTGATTACGAAGGCTGCTACGTGCATCCTTTGTCTTCGGAGGCCAACATTATTCTGAGTGCATCAAAAAAAGTCCGTGACCCCGAACTGTGGGAAGCACCAGGCTGTCTTGCAATTGTCTTTGCTTCCTACTCCCTCTTTCCAAACACGAGCTACAACAGTAGCTAAAGTTCAGGCCAAACGCGATGCCAGCTCAGACATCAGCCTCCCAACCGACAGCCAGGGAATACATTGTGAAGCAGATGTCTGGCGTATATTTTTCAGAGCTTTGTCTGAATAAACATGATTTCCTAACACTGAAGGACAGGCCTGGTTTCTATAACACAAACATATTTTCCCAGGGACAATAGACTCATATTTACGTGCTAATTAGGAAAGAAAAACAGAAAAGAAAAAAAAAAAGCATTTTAGTTTTCAGTCACACATGGCACCAGCAGTGCTCCTGGGGCTGTTTCCTTACCAGGCTGTGCCCTGTGGGGTGGGAAGGCAGCCGACAGGGCACACAGTTCAGGATTATCCAGCCTCGAGCTCCTCTCTTAATGTACTGGCAGAAGAAAAGGAGGGGAAAAAATAAGAATCACCTCTGCTTCCCTCACCTTCAGGCCTACAGCAACCTTGTCACTGTGATATTCCTAATCTGAGCTTATTTTACAGGTCATCAATTCAATTTCTCAACTTCTTACACTTTTTGGTGCTCCCTCTTAAAATAATGTCATGTCAATCAATCATTATCTCAAGGGCTCCAATTTTCGCTTCAAGCCTCTTTAAAAACCTGAGCTTTCATTCCCCCTTCCTTACTCCTTGCCTTAAATTCACCTACTTCAGCTACTCAATATCTTCAATTGTCACCTTCCTGATTTTATTTTATCTCTGCATGCTTGGTAGGCAGAGATAACAAACACACACGAGTCTGGATTCAATAAATCTCACCTGCACTTCTGGGCATTCTGTTTCAGTGCAATGACTTATTACAGGGCCAGGAAAAAAGATACTAAAAGTAATAATTGCTTTCAAAACAAACAGAAATGCCTGATTCAAAAACTTGAAGTGTGGAGAAAGGGAGTCGAGAATATGCCACAGCTGAAAATAATGCCTTAAATCCCACCATCCTTCAAAAGAAGGACTCGGTCAAACTCAGCTCTCACCTGCAGGCTTCAAAGTACTTCAAAGAAAGACTCCTCAACGCTGCATTTTCAAAGCCCCTGGAAGAATATATTCACCAAAAACCTCAACTATGAAGAAGTCCCTAAGTGCAATCAACTCTGAGCTTTTAGCACACAAGTGACTGTGTTTTCACCCTCTCCTCAGCTACTAGAAGGGCAGAAATCTCAAACAAGAAAAACAAACGAAGAAAAAAACCCAGCACCAGGTGAGATTCTGATGTTTCACAGAACTCCAGAACTAGGGGGCTAAGTACAACAGCACAAGAATTTGTATTTCAGAATTATAGAAACGTGCATGCTACTCAGAAAGATCTGCTTTGCCAAATTGACCAAACTGTGTGTTCTTTTGAATGACTGCATGGGCAAGAAGCTGAGCTTCTTATTTGAGTCTTTCATTAGAGATTTTGAAATTTCAGTCAACAGAGCAACCTGTACCTGTACATACCTGTATATAGTATCTTTGGGAAACTTGAACCACACAGCTTGTAAAAGATTAAAAACCAGCTTACCAACGCTTCACGTTTGATATGTAAGAATACAGAAAAACTGCAATCAGATGTTCAGACCAAATCTTCAGTCAAGGAAACACTCCTAAGCTGCTTCAGCAATCCAAAGGAATATAACATCCAAAATTAGAGAGGAAAGAAAACAAAGCAACCTAGTAATTGTTTTCCCTTCTTCTACCCTTCCTTTCCCGCATAACACTGATTTTCTCCTTCCCTTGTTTGAGCAGATCCTGAAAGCAAGCATTAACTCTCAGGCAATGAGTCTGAATTGGATTGAAATGTATGAGCACAGCCACTCTACTTTTAAGTAAACATTTCTGTCCACTACGTGGTAAGGTTTTGTTTTTTTTATACAAACAAAGAGTTATTGCAACTTCCTTGAAATACACAGGCTTTGCATTAATACATCCAAAGACCTCAGAAAATTTTGAGGCCCACAAGTGTTAAGCAGGGTTCAGAAAGATAGTGACTTGTGAGAGAGGCAGGATTTAGGTAGGTGAGTTATTATATTTGACAGAGATTTTTATCAGCTTTATTTATCAGGAGAGCATTTGAGAGCACACAATAACCTTTGCAGAGCTAGTTAGAAGAAAACCCGCAATGATGAAATTCAAAGGCTAAAGTAACGGTATTAGTAGGGTAAGTATTTAATTGGTCACACACTGCTCGAAAGGTGATGGATTTATATCTGTTTTGCTGAGCTCCTGCTTTCCTGTATTCTGCAAGAGAGATGGATTGCATTAGGAAGAACCTGGAAGTCTTCCAGAAGAGTACAGGGCAAACACAAAGTTCACTTATTTGTTAGCGAGCCGCTGCTTATTATGTTTCAAGTTGATTAGTAGCAAAAATTAACATTTCATTAAGCCCTCTGACAGGAGACAGGACCCTTTCATTAAACAAAAAAATACATAATTAGCAATAAATATACATGGGCTTCTTTGTGCACGGTCCTTCGTGTTTTAGATGCAACAGGAAAACACTATTTGCACCCGTCGCTGTGAGCTGGAAGACACCAATGCATTAAAAACCACAGCCCCTTTCGTAATTGGCACTGATCTTCACTTCATCAATTTTAAACACTCACAGCAACGAAAAAATATTCCCTGTTGCAAATAGCTAGCAGCTTAAGTCCGAGCTATGTACATTTTATGTACTTAGGCAACTAGTCTAGGCCAGAAGATATACTCTTCTTTCCTTTTTTTTTTTCTTTCCTATTTTTAAACTAATGAAGTTATAACTAAGACTTTTAGTTGCATGCATGTGAAGTAACAGGCTCGGTATGTCTATGAGTTTCAATTAACTCGTGAAAAAGTCCTATCCTTAGTTCACCGGTGAGGTTGAATGCTGTTTAGGATTGCTGACACACTTCATTTATTTAAATTGGGAATTTAATAAGGAAAAATCTTTTCCTAAGGTGAAACCCAAGCTGTCTCCACATGTAACCAGTGACATCTTTGTCAGTACTTTGAAGCCCCTAAGTCTTTCCAAAAATTTCCTGGCAGAGGCCAAACCTCAGCAGGGTGGTGGCTCAGCAATTTAGTGCGTAAGTAGACACCCAGAGGTTGAAGGACTCTTTCCATTTCTTGATGTAATCTCTGAACGATGCCTTGGGAACAGGGATGTCAAGGAGACATGTTTTATATCTGCCCGGTTCAAAACAAGTGTGTATTAGCAGGTGTCTCCCTTTTATCCAATTCTTCCCCGCAAGGGCTTATCAATTTTGTAGCAGATTCAGTCACAGTCCATTTCTGTCACAGACTTATCAACATGGTAATTCAAATTTTGCAGGTGTGATTACCCCTACATGAATACTGATGAGCTGAAAGTCTGACAGGACTTTGAAAAATGTGGACTGATTGCAAACTGCTGCAACCGCTCACTACATCTCGGCCACGTTAACATGCAACAGGCACACCGCCGGAGATGGAGGACCGAAAAAGAAAGGCACGTCAGCTATGAACTTTCATTTAAGACAAGGACCTAATTTTTGTTAGACGGAAAATAACAGAGCAACCGCAATTTCTATTCATTTGGGGTGACAGAACGCTCAAAGTTTCTGGAAATCCTGCCAGAAGATTTTATTTGAGGCGATGTCGATTTTGGAAAGAGGTAAATAAAAACAGGACCTTGGTCCTAAGTTTTAATGAGTCCCAGAGAACATACACTATTCAGTGTTTGCAATTCAATCAATCATCTGTGTGATCCCTAGTAAGTAAAAAAGGATACGAGGCTAGAATTCAAATGACTCAGAAAACCTGGAGATCTGGGATTGAAAGTTAATAATTTTCCATGCCAAACATCTTCCTGAGAGAAAGCTACTGTAATGATAAAACCAGGGATAGTGTAAGATTTTTTTGTTCCTTTTACAACAGATCGTTTTCAGAGAGGGAGTCAAGAGTAAAAAATTCCAAATGAGAATTGTTGAAACATTTTAAACTGATTGTTCCAAGACATTTGCCAGATACCAAAAGATAAACATCTGACTGATGTCAACAAGACAGAAAGAACTAGTAATTCTGATACCTGACAAGATGTATTACATCCGATTTTTGCATCAGCATATTGTTGAAGACACCCCAGTCGTTTGGAAGCATCTCAGATGGACTCTCAATACGAGTTACTGCCGAAATCAATGCCTCAAGCATTGGAGCACCATGCAAAGTTGCTCATTGGTTCCCCCCGGATCCGTGGAGACACTTCTTTACGCTGACCATCTGTACTGATATCACCCCACAACTGGTCAAGGTGGCACTTGAGGATGTAGGCTAGGATTCAACTTGGTCCTTCCATACAGAGCTAAATTTTGTGTTCTGTAGAACGATATAAACGTTTTTAACTAAAAGCAAAGGATAATACACTGGAAAATATCAGAATAAACCCCACCTTTCTGTAAGCAGGACAGAAGCAATTTAGAGGAGCTGTTCAAGTGGCCCAAAATGTTACTGCTAAAAGTGAATCAACTTGAAAGACTGTAATGAGCCCTCTTCTTCCTCTCATTTGCACCTTTTCTTATTTTTCTTGTGCAAAATGATTTCGCTGCTTTATCCTCTGAAATAATCAACTCAAAGAGGTCGGTTACTCCAGCACATTTACTGGAGCATTAACATCAACCATTTAACATCAGCTAGGGTTTTGGCCCATATTGTATTTTAGCAGAAGGAAGAAACTGATAATAATCCACTGTGGACACTAAAGAAAAAATGAACTGTATCTTAATGCATATTTGACGTAATGCCTCTGTGGCCATACTTTGTGTAAGCCTTCCAAGGGTCCTCTTTGACATTAGCAAAGCAACATACATTACCTAATCTAACATATATTAGCTAATCTCTCTTACCTTGCCTTTAGGATGCAGGTCAAGCTTTCAAGCGCTGAAAATGCATGGCAACTGCCCAATATTGCCTTCCACACACCATGCTCTTAAATGCTTGCTGAACACTCACATGCATGTTGAATGAGAAAATCTATCAGGACAAGAGGCAAAGGTGGAGGGGAAGATGTGTTTCCTGAGCTCCCTCTTGCTAATCAGCCTTCCATCTTCACTGCAACGTGGCAGTCCAAGAATAACACGGTTGGAAATCCGACAGGCAGGAGTGCACGCGATTCAGAAGGGGAAAAAACTTTGCAGAACCTTTGACCAAGGCAAACCTCCACCAGCTGAACAATTTCAACTCTTCTGCAGCGAGTAGAGTCTTGACCCTGCCCCAGGACAGCCCAGCTCCCTCATTTCTGTTCTGCGTGTTTGCAAGGCCTTCCAGAAAAGATTGGTCTAAATCTTTTTTATGCTGTGCTAAAACCAGCCTGAACTCTCAGAAAAGCACAAATAAGTGACAGAGTTAAAACATAACCCAACTGATTTTTTTACATTTGCATTTAACATTTTAGCTTTTAGGTGTTTTTTTCCCCTCTCAGACCTAGACACAGCAGGAAAGAGAACAGTACGTGTAAAAACAGGGCGCCTTGTGCAAGGCTGCCTATCTCAGCAGATAAGATTTTGAAAAGACAGTAAAATGATAAGAGCTGGCAACACCTCATTTAGCACAGGGCTTTGACCTCCGTTGAGGGCTTGAAATGCTGCTGTAATAGAATAAAGTGACAATATTGCAGGTGCTGGATTGTGCTGGCCCAGATTCTGGGCTGCGTGAACCATCTCAAACTCAGCTGAAACAGTGACAAAAGCAGCCTTTGAGTACTCCAAACCAGCTTCTACAATCTTCAACTGCTGAAGAAGTAAAAGCTCGAAAAAATAAGAAGTAAAAGCTCAAAAAAATAAGAAGTAAAAGCTCAAAAAAATAAAAAAAAATCCCACTGCTGCACTTCCTCTTCTGTGTTCAATGACTCAGAGCTTTCCAGCTCGCTTTCCGCAGTAACCAGCAGAGATTTCTGCCTTTAAATGAGTGGCCACATTTCTGGGGCTTCCAAACAACAACACACTGTCAGCAGCATGATTTGTTCGCCCAGCTGGAAGTTGCACTCCTTCATATTTTATTTGTTTGGTAGGTTTTGGGCTTGCTTTCTCTCTAAAAACTCCCAGTCAAATTAATCAAAAAAGTAGCGATAAAAAGCAGACAAAAGAAGAAAAATAAGAAATCTGTCTCTTATCCACCTTTTGTGCATATTGTGCGATCGAAGCAACCAAATGTTCTTCACCAGGCAAGTCTCCTGTGGACAAGGACCCATGAAATCATTAGCACTACGGTCATTATGTGAGGTTAGGAACAAAGCTCCGCATTACATCTGCCTTTTAAGACCTGTCTGAGGCTGGAATTTGTGGCGAGTTCACTTCAATTAGCTCAAAAGGCTGCTTTACAAACCGGGCAGCTCCTCAATGTGCCAAACCATTCGGAAGCGGGTTTGTGGTGGGGCAGAACGACTTCACACAATGAAGCTCCTGCAGATTCCCTGCTCTGCCTCAAGCTCTCAGCCTTGCTTTTGTGAGGTCTTGGACTCCTATCAAGAGGAACGCATCCCAGGCCTACCTTGAAGACAGTTAATTAACACAGTGCCTAGCGGAAAGCAGCATTTTTCTTTCTCTTGCTGCAGGTTCATGCTGATATGTTACTGATGCAATTGTTGTCTTACTATTTAGACACGCTGCCTTAGAACAGAACTGTTCCCCAGTGGTCATTACAAACGTTGGTTATGAGCCTGATTTTCTCATCCTGGACACAGAAACCCTATCAGTGGCCTCAGCAGAAGCTCAGACCTTCAACCAGTCCAGCCCAGAAGTGTTTGCAATACCTCTCTTTTTCTCTCAACACACACCCTGTAGGTAAGGAGTTGACCTTCAAGTTGGTTCTCCCTCCACAAACTATTTATTCAGATTATTTATTGATGGTCGAGACAGCTACACACTTCTCTGGCCTCTCTTAAAGGAGCACAGAGGGTGTTAGCCTGGGGAAAACACCACCAAGATTTCTAGGAAAGTGAGTTCTGACATCCCTCACTGCTTCGACCTTTGTAACTGGATGGTCTCCAAAAACAGGAGCCCAAGAAGCCAAAAATGAAGATGGTCCCACAAAAATCTAGGAGGTTTCCCCTTGACTCCCACATTTTCCTCCCCGTTTGCCTTTATTGACTTGTTTAGGGATTCACGGCATGACTTCAGCTGTCCTTGCAGAAACCCATTCAGCAGCAAGGGAACGGCCAGGCTTGCCAGTGTTTTTCTGTGCTCACTGACAACTTTCCAAGCTCACAAAAGACAGATGATGGGATTGGCTTACAAAAATCCCAGGACTTCTCTTGTTTCATCTTAAATCCCATTGATATGCAGTGCGAGCAGTCTCCAAACGCACACAGCAAAGCAACAGATCCGTGGGAGGGGAGTACTTATTTCAAAACATGGCAATAATAGACAAAAAAAACACAAGACAATGGAATAAGAACAGTAAATGGATGTACCATTCAAGACACAGGCCTCTAGCTGTGGGTACACAAAGCTTGCAGCAAGCTCGTATGCCAACCGGGTCTTGGAAATACTTGAGTACATTTTATAGCTATAGGAGACACTGCCGCTAACCTGACACATAAAGAAATTCCCCCCTGATTTCTTTAGGACAGGAGCCTGCCTGAAGTCTAATTATCCCTTCTTTTGTCTAACGAGCATAAAGAAACTTGAAGTGTTGTGTCCTTCAGCGGTCTCTCAGCCCGCCTTCTCTACAAAATAGGCACGCTCGCTTTTGCTCTGCATCACGGCAGATTAACAAGGTATCAACAGGCATTTCTTTAATAGCTCCTCTCAAGGATAGCGGCTAGGCATTTGCCAAGACAGTCCGGTGTAACTAGTAATTCATGGAAATACCCTGCGCTTGATTTGACCGGTGTCCTCCAAGTCCCATTTTTCATTTTAGGAAATTCGAACTACGGGAAACACAATCCCAAAGGGAAGCCACATCAGGAGAACATGAGAAAGTTCATTTTAGGCTACCAGGAGACAACAGGGAAGAAAAAGGATTGCCCTAGAAAAGCCCTGGCAGCATCGCTTAAAAAGAGCTGGCTTCTGGGGGAAGGAAGAGAAGGAGTTCAGGGGTAAAGAGCAGGGTAAAGAAAGGGTTGGGGAAGCGAACAAAGAGACCATCTCCTGCTGCTCTATTCCTACTGCACTGAAGGAAACGTGAGTTCAGGTATATGCTGTAAGAAATGTGAATCCAAAGGAAATCCGACCTCATAACCAATTTCTTCTCTGAATGGAAATAACTTGATTAGACCTCAAATTCCAGTTAATAGCTCATGTCAAGCAGAGCAAAGGTAAGTTTTAATTTATCTTGACAAATAACTTACACTTAAGTGACCTTTTTCTGAATGTGCATCATTTTGGCTTCATTTCATACAGTCACAAAAACATATCCTTAAAGAAAATTTCCCCCGGCAGAGAGATTTTGTCTGCAGGGAAACTCGACAGGTTTTTCACACCTGCCCACGAGCCTGCCCAAAGTTCTAATTTTTCGTGCTAACATATTGGAAGGAATAAATTGCTGAAATATCTCATTACACGGGATGGTTCCATCAAACAATTTTCTTGTCATTAAGTGCTCCGTAGATGCACTTAATGGGCAGCACTCAGATGCTAGCAGAGAAAGAAAACCAAACCCTTCTAAAAACTAACCCCAAACTAGTTGTTCATTAACTTAAAACATCTCTGTAATAGGCAGTTACCAATAGAGCATTATCTAATGCTGGATATATTTTCACCCAAGGAAAGAATGACTAATTAAGAGTGGTGTCGTTGCTGATATTTGTCTCTGGAAGCTTCACTGATTACAATTCTTCTTCTACGAAGCCTCTTCCCCTTGGTACAACCGAGAACGCAGACGAGACAAGCAGCAGAGACAAAGCACCGGGTAGCTCCCTGAGGTTTTCTACCGGGATTGCAAACACAGGGAGAACAAATGCTCCTGCTTGTTCAGCATCCATTTTGGAATCCAAACAGAAATACTACCGCAAATACAGCTTCTCCAGTGACATCGCTTCCACATCAAGGCCCAGCTAAATATGAGCAGCATCTTTACTCAGCTGTCACAAAACATTTCATTAGCCCATTAAAAAAAAAGCTATACAATACATAACAAAAACGCAGCTGTAAGAACTGCAAAGATGCCTGGGTGGGAGGATTATATTTCCCAAATCTACCCATTTTTCCCCCAGGAATCTGATACGTAAAGACCTAAAAGATTCACGTGTTTAGGTCCCATTTCTTCTGCTTAGGAAAAAACATTAAGCATAGGAGTAACTGTAAAATCCCAGTAAAGGTTATGGATCTAGAGCAGAGATGCTCTTCCAACAATAAGTCGCTCAATGAATTATTCTGTATTGTCATCTTCATAATACCGAGGGCTCTGAGCTTTTATTAAATCACAAAATGAGGTCTTATTGCTTTTATTAAAGTGTCACCTAGAAATTCCAGCCGCAAGCCAGTAACCCATAATGAAAGGTCCAATACAAACATAAAAAAAAAAAGAAAGAAAGAAAAACCTCTCAGAGAAACAAAACTGAAGGCAGTCTTAGTTTTATTTTTATCCTAGCCTTTAACAAAGGCCACTATCCTTTAACAAGGACCCTCTCTCTTCAGGGTTAATACAGTGGTGGCGTTTGGTACCAAAAGGAGCCGACTTCAAAATCCTTCACACAATTGCAGTTCCCTCTGTTATCCGCCGGGTCCGCACAAATAAATAAAAGATCCCCTTCCCTGATGAGTTTTTCAAAGCTGTTTTGCGACGTGTGAGCACCTGGCAGGCCTGATGGGCCTTTCACGCGGACACGAGCCACGCTCACCACTTGCACAGAGCAGGGCTGCGCTCGCCTGACCTACTTCGTGCCGTCTCAGGGCCAAAACTCGGCGCCACCCTTCCTTGTTCTTTCCACCAGGTAACACCTCCTCCTATTCCTCAGGACATAACGGCAAACAGAGCGGCTCCAGCGCCGGTTCAAAGCGCCGCCGCCACACACCCAGCCTCCTTTCTTGCCTTGCAGCACAATGAGATCAGTACAAAAGGGCCTTGGTTTTCTAAGCCGCCGTGCCAACTGAAATTACCTTAATCTAAAACCATGCCTGCTCTAAAATCTCCTCTCTTTCTTAGTAATACTAATAAGGAGCCAAACTGCACGGACACTGCGGAGACACAGTTTTAGATTTAATACCATACGTTTAAATTAAATGGGCCTAACACACTGCTTTCTTTTCCTTTTCAAGTCCCATCTTTCATCTCCGGATCCTATAGTTGTTTCAGCCTTGATAGAGTTAGAAAAATTGACAGCTCAAATATATAAATATTTTAAACATGCAAGGCGAGTCTAGGTCTCGAGGGAAATATCCGAGCTTTTCCAATATTCACATCTGATTATTTATGCAGTTAAATAAGAAAGGAAATTGCTAACAAATCTACTCACCGGTTTGGCACGCTGTTCCAGTTTGCCTTTTCCTGCTCTCCTCCCGAAATTACCAGCTGATTAGGGGTGAGGAAGAGGAGCCTCGCTTTCCACACTGGAGTGAGACTTTGACACTGGTTTTCCTAACTCACAGCTCTGCCAAAGACATCAGACAAAATCTCGGACAAGTCACCAGCCTGTATTTCCCCTCCATAAAAACGGGAGCAGAGATGCTTCCTTTTGCCAACTGGTTTCTGCCGTCTACTTCTTTTCTGCTTCATGATGGCTTTGCTTGCCTTACTTTGACACACTGGGCCAGGAGGTGAAGGGAAGCAACCTTTTAAACCCATTTCTGGAACACTTTTTGTCCTGTATACAAATAAACCAAGCTGAGAGCTATAGAGAAGGCCTGTGAGCCACTGACACTTACCTTTATTAACACTAGAAATGTCGTGCAGATCAGCCTAAATGCCTCTGTTTAAATCACACAAGTGGTGGCTGTGTGCTTGGGATCTCTCCATTTCCATTAAATTCGTGTCAGCTCCTTCTCCCTTGAACAACACTTTACCCTTATCACTAGATTCGCCTAGAAGCTCTGTATATATTTTGTGCAAAGAAATTTTGCCTCAATCACTTAAAAATTAGTCCTTTCTTCCCCTTGAATACTTATCTGCTCATGTTTATGAATAAGTTACAGCTACGAAGAATTTACTGGCATCAGTGAGCGCCTTCTGCTTATGTTGTTATTCTTTTCAGATCTTCGTATTCGCTCTATTTGAAACATTTGTTCTGTAGTTTTGCAACTTGCAAGGAAATAAATTGGAGGGAATGTAAGCAGATGAATATATGCCCATATTAATCTCTGCCACTTCAGAAGCAATACAATAGCACTTTGGTGCTTACATCAAGATTGCTTCTAGACATCATCTTGAAACTACTCCTGGAGCAACTTACCCTGTTATTGTCCCCTGCTGCTACCATTGAGCAGTAAGAAGCTTTCACCTTGCAGAAAGCATCCTTAATGCAGAACTATGCTGGAAGTGCTGCTTAAGCAGTTCAGCAAGAAGCCAGCTAGCTTCGTGTAACCCATCTGTTTAGTTGCCTAACCACATACCGAGGCAGACAACATACCCACAACTGCTGTCGATTCTAGGATGGGGTCTTTGCACGCCTGAGGAGGTAGTGACATCTCAAACAGCCTAACCACTACGACCATAACTATGGCCTTCACTGTAACATTTGATGCTCCACTACACACACGAGCACTGAGCTACCAATGATTTCAGCAGGGCCAGAGCATGATGCTCAGCAGGTCTGAGAACCCAGCTCAAGAACTGGTGTACGAGGAGATAGTGATTACTAACAAAGGGTAATTGGGTCCTGTTTAAAATGGCATCCTATGTCTGAGAAACTCCCAGTTAATGATCAAGAAGAGACTTAAGATGGGCGGATAAGAGATAACAACTGGGTAGGCTGAGATCATGCATTAGGAAGGGAATTGCAGAAGTTACTTCCCCAGAAAAGATGGGCCAAAGGTCTTGATAGTGGAGATCAGGCAAATCAGCATGTTCTGTCACTACGTCGTTACACTGATGTTTTGAACTCACTTTCAAAAGTTTAACTTATGGGCACTTGCATTTCATTTTTAATATACAATACATGCAAGAATGGGAAGATTCATGCTCTTCCAATTTCTTAGCTAATATATTTTTTTTATCTCAGACCTTCTGCACACACTCTTCAGTAATTCAGGTACCTACCTAGCAAACTACCGATGTGTTTGGACTGATACATGCAAAAGAACACACAAATACTCAACCTCCACTGTCTGTATGCCAACTCCATTTCCTTTGAGACCTACATGTTCACAGCAACCAAGGACTCAGTCTGTATTTAGCAAGATTATCTTCCAGTCAACAAATTCATGGTGGTCCACTACAGGCGTGAAGACAATTTTCATCTTTCGACTTCAATCATGTAGAATTTAAACCTAGTTAAAAGTAACTGAGAGCGTCAAACTCAAGCTTGGCTTTTTATTTCTCTTGTACTCTGACAGACACACAAAAATAAAGCCAGAGAACTGAACCAGCTCAGTAGTTTTAGAAGTTACAATTACTTCCATTTGCCAGTCTTACTGGTACATATTAGGTATGTTCCATAACTTTTAATAATGCATATTTTTTGACTATATTTATCAGGATGTCAGAAGGTAACAGGTTGAATTCATTATGATGCAAACCTGACACCTGAATAGGAACGCTGAAGGATTCTGCCCTTTAAAATTTCAGGAAAATAGCAGCAAATTAGAACTGACAGGATGTTACTTTGATCTGACAATCATGACTGTAACTCACTTTGAATATTGAATATCAGTTCCCTTTTAGTTCCAAGAAGAGTGGATACACACTATGCGGTTTGTGCATCTCATCATGTAACAACTGACAACACCAATAAGCTTTCTTAAAGTAGAGCTGCTTGGAAGAACTATGTATTATTTTGCTTTATTTTGACACCCACACACTCGACAGAATATATCTGAAGATATATTAAGAATCACGTGCATGGGCAGAGATTGTAATCTGTCACTCACTATATGAAACCATCTTCTATATAAATACTTCTCTTGCTGATGCAACAAAAGGAAGTGGGTTGAAGCAAGAAGAATTTTCCATTTGCAGTTCCTATATTCTGTGTATTTTATACCAGGTTGTTTTCAGTTAACAGATAAGCGATAACTCTATGCAGTGTTACATTATCAAAAAGTGAAATGCCATTTTCTTTTTATTAAAAAATCCTGAAATCTGCCCTCCTGTTCAGTTGAGTAGAGGAAAAATATTACCAGTAGAGCTACCACAACTTCAGGGACTAAAGCAGGCTTTAAAGTTATTCAATTCTTCACAGATAGGAGCTAGATGAAGTTTTGGAAATGACATCTTTGTATTCTCCATCCAACAGACAAAACACATATAAAGTCATTGAATGCCATGATTTATATTCCCTTAAAACAAAGGAACAAAAACATATGTGTGCACACACTGGGATTATATATCCCAGCTTTGATACTTACTTTTCTGTTAGAACACCTCACATCCCCTACACGTGCTCTAATTCTCTTCAGGTTTGTCTGCTATTGCCATCATCAGGATACTATCACTTTCCGCCCTCTCTAAGGGTTTGATTGATGAACCCAGATAACTGGAAATCCATCAAGAAACCTTCGAACTGTGATCCTTCAATTTACGGAAAGGATGGGCTGCACACATGAAGATTAACAGGAATTAGTGGGACAACTCAAGGGACCAGTTTGCACAATCCAGTCGTCTCCAAAGCCTTCAGCATATTCTAATTCAGTAAAACCCAGAGTCCCATAGAAAAAAAGCATCAAAGCAACACAGTAACACTTTGGGCAAGTCACAGTAAATATCTATGGTATTCAATGAAATTTTACTCTGCCAGACAGGTGACTTATCACAGCCATAAAATAGTTTAATGTTATCCTCCATCTCACGGTGTCATTCTTACCAGTGCAACATTACTCTGAACTGCTACGGCGATGATCCACTATCATTTGATGCTTTCAGCCACTATGCAACCATTCTGTGGGAGAACCCACACAACCAGCTCCAAGTACCTACACAAAATTGTGTCCACGCCAGGCCCTCAATACTTGAGAGATGTCTATAGATGAAAATCAAGTCTACATGCACATTACCTGGTAGAAATAATGTTCTCAAAAATAGAAGTCACTCACTGGACACATTCGTGGGCAACCTGCTCTAGCTGCTCGAGCAGGGAGGCTGAGCTACGTGAGCTCAAGAGGTCCCTTCCAACCTCAACAGCTCGATGATTCTGTAACACAATTTTAGTGACAACTGGACAAGATCAGGCAAGCAGCTAAAACCTTCAATTTTCCACCAGATTTGACTACTTCATTTCAGTAAGCGTTGGAAATGAAAATGATGATTCCATGCAGAAGGTAAGCAGTCTGCATTAAACGACTCTTTAAACGTCCAAAGTTCAGGAGTTAAATAGGCAGCACCAAGGTCATTATGGAACTTCATTACACTACAGACATAAGGTGCTCTAAAAATACCACTAAGCAGGGCTTCCATCACACTTTAAATCTTCAAAAGTACGTACAGACAGTCATTTATTAAATGCTAAACTAATTAATTTTTTCTCTCTGTATGCTGTCATAATTTCACATGGGAAATAAATGCCATGTAAAGCCATACACTTACTGCCACGACTTGTGCCTCTTGTAGGTTCAGCAGGCTCAGGATCATTCAGGATATGGACAGGTTACAGGGCAGCTTTCAGACGTCTGATGAAGGAGGCAATGCTAGTTCTAGCCACCAGGGTGCTTGCTAGTTGAAACCTCAGGGTATCTCCACAAAAGTTCTGGAGCTTTAGTTCCAGCTGAGACAATGATGCTCCTGCTGTCGTCAGCTCTTTCTGAATGTTACTACAAGATTTTCAGATGCACCCAGACTGACTCAGCAGCCACAGTCAGTCCAAGACTAAATCTAGTCCTATTCAAGGAAAATAATGCTTGTGGATTTGTTTGTCCCTTGATTTGGTGGAACAGTAGTCATTTCTCCTCACAACAGGGAAAAGACATCTACCAACTAACAGGTTCCTCTGCTGGGAAGAAAAATATACCTTCTGGCCTTCATGCAACTCTCTGGCTTCTTCTTCCTTGATGCACTAGAAAATCATTCACCAGTTGCCAAGGTACTGACAAGGAACAGAGCGGGTACCACACCAGACAACACAAACACATCTCCGTTGCTCCTGAGGGCTCATATATTCAATCACTGACTCAAACCGGTTGGGAGCATGAAGAAATTACAGTGTGAGATCAGTGAGGAAGACAGGTCCTTTCCAAAGGCTTCATCAACAGAGAGCAACAACACTGGTCTGGGCAGAAATTCTGTGATCTTCTCATTTCTTATCAGGATAGAGATAACTCCTCTTGAATAAGTGAAGTCCATATCATCGTGTGAAGCAACCTCTAATAATTTCCCCAAATTAACAGCACTGTGTCTCCATACCTCTGTAGCTTTCTGGTAATTGAGAAGCTGCAAACATAAAAATTGCTTTGATGATCTTGCTGTACAGCTCCTGAAAAACAGCAAACAAACACGAAATTCACTACATTACTTCAACTGGCAGATGTTACCATTAAAACATTCCCACTTATTTACAAGGGGACAATTACATGAAGCAGGAAAAGCAGTAAAGAGCCTTCATTAGTCAAAAACTATTTGTCATCTTGGAGCATAACTTTGTCACATTCAGCTACAGAGCAGAAAGCCTTTTGCGAGAAAATGCCTTAATACAGTTGTTTTAAGACAGCTGCAACGTTTGGACCTTCCAGCATTATTTCTCCTCTGCACAACACTTCTCAAAGAAAAGCCATCATCCTCCATTTGCAACACATGACAAGCAGCTATCTACACAGTGTAGTTTATGTCATTATCTCTTATTTCTTGATAGATTATATTCTTACACCAGGGCACATCAAGCAGCTTTGTCAGCTAATGGCAAGCAGTAGCGTGATAGGTTCTTGCAGTCCATGAAGCCATGTTAAAATAAATGCTTTGGGCTTCAAGCCTTAAAAGCACCGCGTCTCCCTCTAGTGCCTGATCTACTACTGCTGCCAAGCAGTGGATGCCCTTTTCTCTTAAAGGTTTGGAAGGGGCAGGATTCAGAACATGTAGAGTAAAATAACTCAAGATCCTTGCCCAAGGGACAGGGGCAGTCAAATCCTTTGTGCTGCCTACGTACGCTACAGGTATGGTGGCAGAGCACACCTCCAAAAAATCACTTTCAGGAGCAAAGATCTGAAAACTGAGAAATAAGAGCTTTGGTGTTGTCCAATACACCCTTAAGTTAGCTGCACTGCACTGATTGCTTCCATCTCCCATGACTGTATTCTTTTCTCTCCCTTCCTTTCCCCAGACGGAGGGACCACAATGAATAAAGAAAGCTCTCACTTAACCAAGAGCTATTCAACACTTTGTCATCTCCTTCGGTGTTCAGCGAGAGGTCCTATACCTTATTTACAGCGTATTACTCTAAACCTTCCCTGAAGATACAATTAAGCTCCTCACAGGGTTTTTTATTGCTCTCAGCACTCTATTCTTTAGTTTTTTTCAGAAACAATTTATTTTTCACAGCATCTCTAAGAGATAAAAGACATAATGTCCAGATGACAGACAGCAAACTGAGAGAAAGAGGTCCTTTATGGTCAAGGGAGACCACTAACTTCAGGTGTCTCATTTCCAGCGCCTAGGATCTGATACAGACAGCTACACGTGTTCAGATCAGGGGTTTCCATTGTTTTCAAGCGAGTGCAGTTCCGACTGCTCAGCAGTTCTGTGCTTTAATATGCAGACCAATAATGTTTTTATTGTAATGGTTGCAAGCGTATGAATGAAACTACATGCACCAGGAGAGGAATCTTTTGTAACATTAGTTCTCCCCCAGCCAGTACGTTTGCTTACAGGCAGACCAACTCCCCAAAGCAATTTATTTCAATCAGTAAGGGCGCTGCTGTAAGATAAAATTCATCACTATAAAGAGATACAAGAATAGCTCCTATAAGCAATTTAGATCCTATTTTTGCAGTTTTAAATAGCACCTGGACCACGTGACGACACGTAAGACAGAATTTCATTTGTGCACTCTATTATGCTCTTTTCCATTCAATATTCACATTTCCTGTTGTCTCTCAATACAAAACTAAAGTGTTCTTAAACAGTTGCTAATTGTAGTGCATATTTAAACAATAACCTACTGAACTGTTTGCCCTCCTGGTGGATGTAATCAGGTAAGACCAATTTGCATCTGCAAACGCAGGTATACAGATTACACTGCACCTGAAAGCGAAGGAAAGCACAAAAACAATCAGCAGCAGGTACTGACAAAAATCTAGAGAGGCTGGACAAAGCAAGCAGCCATTACCCAAAATGTTTAATAACCCTACACTATTAGGAAGTGTGCTTAAGAAAACAACTATTTCTGTTCCCAGGGCAGTGAGTATGGAACAATCCTTTGCTCTCCTATCTTATTCAAGATATTATTGCCACATGAAGATCCAGCTTTTCAGAACGAAGACACCGACTACCAAGTCAACTGAAAGGCTATTTCCAACATCCAGTCATTACCCAGTCAGAGCAGCTTCCCCTAAAAGCCAGATCCCATTGTGCACAGTAGCACAGATGCATAAAGCAGGTACAAGCTCTGTTCAAAATAGCATACATTTAACTGAACCAAACCAAGCAGAAAGAGACAGGGCTCTATTTTGCACAAAAGGGAGTTGAAAGACTAAATAATTTGGCCTGAATTACAAGAAAGTATATGGGTGGCAGAGGTCAAGTTTCAAACCCTCACATCAAGCCCCTAAACTATGCTATTCCTCTTAGCCTTTCAATCAACACAACCAGAGCTGGTTGTACAGATGCACACTGGAGCACTTCACACAGGATGCTGTCATGATAAAATTATCAGCACTAAGAAACAGAAAATGCTGGAAAAAGTATCTTTGGGAAATACTGACAGAGCTAAAGCAACATGGATTACTATTGCACTGAGTACATCTTTGCAGGCTTCCTGTGGGAAAGAGTTATTTCTGTGAGATTCACTTTTTGTGCAGTTTCAGATTCCTCTTCACACACATCCTAATTCCAAAGAACTAGCATAAGAGAGGATAGCAGCCCTGGGTTCCAGTACTAAACAGCTTTTGCTGTTAAATCATCGCCCTTCAACAAGATTTTCTACAATTTTCTGTATCTCTTCATAAATATGGAGTTTATTCAGATGTGTACAAGACTCGCTCCTGCAATCTAGTGCTCCATTGAGCTATAACCAGGAAGCTCTTTTCTATCCACTTCTTATGCTCCACCTATCCTAACCAGGAATTTACTTATTTAGAGCCTCTTTTCCTTCCAACTTGCAGGCCCACAAGTATAATACAGTAACAAACAGCATCCTGCTCATCCAGTGTCCTCAGAAATCAATATCCTCATCACCTTGAAGATGACAACTCTGTCTCATGGGCTCTAGCAGCATTCTAATATCCTTAGCTCCATGCAACATGATGAATACCTTGAACAATAATGTGAGATCTACTGATATGGGAACAACGTGAAGAGAGCATAGGCCAGCATCTGTCAGCGTACACTCTGCTGTGTTGTACAAATGGGAGGGAGAAATAGGAGGATTAAGTTATTATTTAATTTAAACAGCTTGTTCCTCAGCAACACACTTGGCAACAGTTTTGCCCCTACTAGAAATAGAACCAAAACTTTTGCTATTGCTACTTTCTGGTAAGGTGACTCCACAGACATTCACAGCTCATTGATCTTTGTCCAAATTAACAATGTGAATGTAGTTGCAATCCACCATGATGTATTTCTGTACAAAACTGCATCAAGAAAGCAACGAGTCAAGCATCATAACTGAGATCACCAACATTCACACGCCAACATCCACAGACAGAAGGGAAGATGGTTCCATGCTTCAGGCTTCGTTTCTGTAAATCCCCTCACCAGAAGGAAGAGGCAGGTCTGTGGCTCAGCCGAAGGAGTTAACCTCTGCTCCCCAAGCTTCCTCGGATCTAAAATCACAAAACAGTTGGAACTTGCAGCTTGAAAACATTTAGCTCTGCACACGTTTGTAAAACTGCATTAACATCTCATTCGCAGTATCGCAGGAGAGGCATAAAAACAGCATTCAGAACAGTAATCACTTCACACCTGTCTGCAGAGCTGATGTTAAGGCTAACTCTGGACAAAACCACTCCTCCACAGCTAATGCAAGGACAGTTGCATTTCTTGCATTACATTTCACCTGCTTCAAATCCACGACATTTGAGGTGAGGTCTGGCTTGCAGGCCATGAATTTGATTGTCAATTTTAGTTTGGTATAAAACTGAACAAGCTCTGCTGCAAAGTCAAACAAAAGCCAGGTTCACCAAATAATCATTTAATGCACAATTGAAAAAATATCCTAAAATCTTCAGCCTCTTGGACCCCCAAGACTATCAGCAGAGCAGGATAGAGTATTCCCATTCAGCCTGTGATGCTCCCGACCTCTTGTCTCACACCATTAGGCTGAAACAAACCAGCCAGCTTGGAAAACAGCAAAGAAGGACCAGGACAAAGGAGAAAAGCCACATTCCTCCTTATAACATTGCTCCTAGTACTGGTAGAAATAATTTGCACAAGGCAAAATGGAAAAAATCACAGCAAATTGCATCCTAGACTGGCATCTTCTGGTTCAAATTCATTCTGTTATGCTCCGCTCCTCAGCATTAAAACCTCAGCAGCAGCATGTTTTAACCCGACTAGGAGTTGCAGCACTTTGATAGCAGGGCCTCCTCCCTCTGTCCCATTTGCACAGTTCCTTGCTGCTCTTAGTTCTTGAGGTGGTTTGACCAACAGGTCTGAGAGCTACTGGGAGACACTGGGAGACCAGGTAGGTTTGGTCTCCTCCAGTAATGAGTACTCCTCTCTGAGCTGCCATTTCCCCCTCAGAGCAAAGCCCCATTCTCAGCCTCACACGTTAAGTAGCAACTGGGATTTCACAGTCTCTACAGATGGGGTTTATTCAACTTTTTTCATCCCATATGGATCCACACGTGCGCTACAAAAAATCAGAACACCGGTTGGCTTAGCAGAGAAGCAGAAGCACTCCTTCACCGCTAGAAACAGGCCTTAGCAGACGTGATTCAGGCTGCCTCTGCCAAATGCTATTCCACAGAGGAAAACAGATGGCTCTGAGGGCTTCTCCTAACCCCCCTCCACCTACCAGTACTGCCATCGCCCTCCCCTCTGCATCCCAGGTGCGACCATCACCTCCCAGCTTTCATACATCAGACTAAGATGCTACTCAGCTGAGTTGGTCTAAAGTACAGATGAAAGCCTAATTCTGGTATTTTAGTTCTCCTTCCTGCATTCTTTCCGTCCTCAGATGTTGTTCTCCTCTCCCGAAGCCACCCCCGCCCAGCTCCCACCACTTTCCTCTTTCAGCAGCACTGCTGATAAAAACAAATGTTTATTCTAAGTTCATCAGCTGAGAGCTCTAAACCATTTACAGTGGAGGTGGGAGGGAGGGGAAGACTCAGGGTCTCACAGGGCAAATTGTTCAGCTTGCAGGCTCAGGGAAGCATTGCTTCCCTCAGAACTCCACATCACCACAGCCACGTTCACCTGTCATGGCCTGGGGCTCCTGGAAACCAAGCGAGCTGTTACCACACAGACGTGAAAAGGAAAGTGGTGTGCATGAAGGATTCAGGGGTGAAAAAAATAATAAAAATTAACCGAAAGCAGAGTCTGTTGGCTGTCCTCAAGAGCCAGGCTCGTCTGAAGCTCCCTCCATCCCCAGCGGCCATTGCTCATGCCGCCACCACAGCAAGCCTTGGCTGATCACACAGCCACTGTGACAGCACCTTCCTCAGGTCTTCCTGACCCTGTCACATCCCTTCTGGTGGTTTTGTTGTACTCTTAAGTATTCTGATGTGGCAATGTTTTGGTTTCAAGAGGTTAGTTCAAAGTATGCTGTTGAGGTGAACCCAAACACTTTGCTAGGCCCAGCGCTGGCCTTGCAATCACAGTGGCCTTGATCTCCATACACCAAGGCCCAAAGAATGCTGATGAATAAGCAACAACGCTTGTGTTTCTAAATAAAAATAAAAACATCTCAAAGTAGCTAGGGCATGAGCAAATATCAAAGCATAAATTCAAGAGTCCTAGGTCTCTCAAGGGAGACAGCTCAATCTGAAGTGTCCTTTAGGTAGAGCCCAATGTCTTTGATAGTTCACCATATTTGATCAAATAAAGCTATTGATCCTTAGCATGAGAGTTCAATACCGGCTATCAGTGCTGTAAGAGTAGTACAATAAAACCCTCAGTCTTTTTGATCTCTGCTGAAGCATTTCATCTTGACATTTGTTAAATGTATCAGTAGATTGCTTAAAATGAGAATGGGGTTTTAAAAGCTTACTGGAAAAGCAAAGCTCACATTAGAAATTCAACTTTTACATTTGGTAAGTTTTACATTTGGTGCTTTTCATTAACTGTATTGCCCAGCCAGGTATTATTATCCAATTCCATTTTAAGCAAGATGGTGAGACCTAAATGGATTTCTAAATATATGTTCTTGGCTTCATTCTTACAAGTGTTTTTTATGATGGTTTATCTGCTTCTGCACCTTTGCAGTTAATCATTCCTTCAGACCACCTCCTGACCCCAATCCAGCAACAGAAACATGGGGTTCAGACCAGAATATCCCTCAGCAGGACAGAAGCCAGATGGCATTGTTAGCAGGCAAATAAAGGAAAGGGAGGAACAAAAAGAACATTTTCAATCATCTGAGCCTCTGTAAGAGTCAGGACAGATTGCCACATCAGTGATACCAGTGCAACCCAAATGTAAATAAGCAAACCCAGATTTTATTACTGTTACTCTGGGCATAATCTAATATAGATTAAATATTAGATTTTAGATACGGGTATAATGGGATATGCAAACAGGCAACACCATCTGAATCATAAAGACTTCTTTACCATTTAGTTGCTAAGCTCTAGAACAGGTTGTGCATCAAAGTCACTGCAATCTGCATTCTTGGTGGTGACTTTTGAAACAAGAGGTGGCCTTTGACAAGCTAACTCCTGGCTTTAAAATAGACTTCGGTTTGAGAGAAAGCTCGATCTGCAGAGGTCCAATCTCCGAGTTTCTAACATCTTGTGACTTAAAATTCTGAACACATAGCAATGGTCACAATGCAGCATTAAGTCACTGCTAATTTCTCACTCCTTACCTCAGCGCCTGTCAAGGAGCCAGAGAAAAATCAGCTTTCCAGATATCTGGCCTGGAGCATGCCAGACCCTACCTAAGATCTGGTAGCCTGAAGTAGGGAGGGGGGCTGAGGATAATAATGTTACAAGGCCAGGCTGCTAGGAAAAACAGAGACAAGTCTAGCATTCACTTACTACCTGGTTTATAAACCAGTAGAGAAGGCAGACTGTAAACACACACAAATGGACCATGTATCTTCAATTGCATAGGAGCAGCAGTATGCTTGGTGTATCTCAGTCTTCCTATAAGTTGTTCTCTCCTGAGGTGATCTTAAGTATTCCAAACCTATTTTGTTATGCACAACACTTTACATTCAGCCCTGCACTTACCTCACCCTAGAATATCAAACCTTAAATCTGCCAGTATCTCATGAATCCTAAAACTATACAAACTCTGGGACAGATTCGCACCTGGAGTAAACTGATGTAGTCCACACAGGTTTATTAATTTACATCTTTAAGGCACTGATGCCTAATCTTTATCTCTTGAGAGAACTATGATTTCAGAAATATCTTTTTATTTGATTTTAAAAACCAGTCCAAGTTTTGTGCTTCAATCTGACATTTTGATCCTGACCGCATTGTCCCTGTTGCTTTGTAAAATTGAGGAGACTGAGGAAAGTAAGGTGAAAGTTTTATGGAAGTGAGGAGAACTGAAAAAATAAATAGATTGGGAAAAATAGAAGACAACAACAGATACTCTCACAAGAAACCAGTATTGTTAACTCGGTTCTCCTTTGCCACACCATTCCCCACGCAAAAGCAGGCCTGTATCAGAGGGTGCTCGGAGAAGGAAGATGTTTCATTGATGATCACCACATCCACTGTCCTGAGCAGCCCCATACACAAATACGGTGCAGTGGCCAACAAACTGCTCTGCTTGGGGAAGACAATATGTCCCAATGACCTCTAAAGCTGCTTCCTATGTTCTCAAGGCAGCAAGAAAGAACTTGAGAGCTGTTACCACTACCCTACGCGCATGGCGCCGCTGTCTTCCTTGAGGAGAGTCGCCTTTGGAAGCAAATGGCTTAGAATTACTAGTATTTCTGTGTGGATAAGTCTGTGTGATTTCAAATGAGATTTCAAAGCCTAGAGAAAAAGTCAAAGCTGCGTGCATGCAACCTTGAACTCCTGATGTTCCCCCACCATTAGGAATTTTTCTGAGGCAATAGAAGAAAAGTTAGCAAGTAACTTCAACTCAAAGCGTTTCTTTCCCTTCTTTGTGGTCAGCATCCAAGAAGCCCTGCTGAACAAAGATCAGGCTGAATGACTGAAAACAGAAGCACTCAGGGGAGCAGACAAAAAAAGCAAAAAAAGCTCTTTCCCCTTCCCTTTAAGCTAAGTTTATAACTGTGTTGGAAAGAACAATCAAGACGATTCCTTTTGAGATAAGAGGGCAGGGAACTAGGGGAGAAAGAGGCCAGAGTGGGTTTTTTATTCTCTTTTTTTAAAGTAATATTAGTATCAAAGAAACAATTGGTGGATTTGCTTCTCAAATGCTGGGAACTGGACTGGAATTTGCTAGTAGGCAGAAAGTCAAAACAAAACCTGCAGGTAAGTTGCATCTCCTTAAGCAGCATTGGAAGAATTCTGCAGTTGATGCAATTTGTCTTTACAGAAGAGTCCAGTAAAACCTGACACCAGGCCATAAAAAATTTCCATACAAACATAAAACATTCCAGTAAATGGGCCCGTTTCCTCCCTGAGACCATTTGGCAAGCCCTGTAATTGCAGGGCAGCTGTCAGGTTGAAAATGTTCT